TGGGGAGAAGGGTGCAACAATGAATGAATGGAATCCCAAAATCTCTGTAGATGTTCATTGAAATGAAAAATAAACAACCTAAATTTAAAAAAAACAAAACAAAGCAAAAGAGGCAATGTATTTTCACCTCTCCCCAATATATACAGTTTTGTATGCAAACTAAAATAAAAATTATTTTTTAAAAATGAAGTAATAAAATGAGTCTATGGAATTGAGGGTATCATACTAACATCAGTTGGATCTTGGCTGAAAATGAATACTAGAAAGATGCTTACTTATATTTTATTGACAATGCAAAGACATTCACCTGGTTGGTCATAAGAAATTATGGGTAACATTGAGAAGAATAAGAATTCCAGAACACACAATGGTGGAGCATATATGCGGAACAAGAAGCAGTTGTTCAGACAGAACAGTGTTAGACTGATTTTGGACCAGGAAAGGTGTATGCAGGATTGTATATTTTCACATATCTATTCAGTCTATCTGCAGAGCAAATAAAACAAGATCCTGAACAATATGAAGAATGTGGCATCAGGATTGGAGGAAGACTCATCAACACTGCATCATACATGATAATACAACATGAATCATACAAGATGATACAACCTTCTTACTATAAGTGAAGAGGATTTGAAACACTGAAAAATATCAAAGGCCACAGTATTCTGTATGGATTATATCTCAACATAAAAAAAACCGTCATACTTGGACCAGTAGATACTATCATAATAAATGGAGAAAAGATTGAAATAATCAATAATTTAATTTTATTGGCTCATGTTAACTCCCATGTAAGCAGCAGTTAGTAAATCAAATGATGTGTTGAATTGGGCAAATCTGCTGTCTGACACCTCTTTAAAGGACCAAAGGGCAAGGATGTCTGTTTAAAGTGTGCCTGACACAAGCCATGATATTATCAATTGCTTCATATGCATGTGAAAATTGGACAGTGAATAAGGAAGACTGAAGAGGAATCAATACCTTTGAACGATGCTATTGTCTCAGAGATCTGAATATCCCATGAATGGTCCATAGACGGAAACAAAATAATTGTATACAAAGTGATTCATAGAGACAAAGAATGGTGAGACTTCATTTCATATAGTTTGCACTTGTTATCAGGGGTGTCCAGTCTCTGGAAAAGGGCATCATGGTCAGCAAAGGAGGGGAGGATATCCTCTTCAATAAGAGATAGATTGATGGATAAACTAACAGTGACTTTATGCATAGTGAAGATTGTGAAAATGGCATAGAATGAGACTAGGTTGCTTTCTACTGTGCATAGAGAGTTGGAACTGACAATTGTGACTCCCAGTTTAAAACAAGAAATATATAAACCCCTTGCCTTGGCCTAGGGAGTCCTCTATGACCTGGCAATTAACTACATCTCCCTTCTATTTCATCTGCCAACCTGGCATACGATTTCTTACTCCAGATACCTTCACTGTCTAAAGTAAGTTATTTCTTGATATTTTCTACTCCACCTCTTCATTTTTTCATAGTATTTAGGATGACTTGCATTTGCTTTGTCTCTTATGCATTTTTCATCTGCCTTTTCCACTAAAAGCTGAGAAAAATAGATACTTGATCTTTTTCATCATTTTGCCCGTGCCCAGGCATGTCGCCTGGAATGTGTGAAAGAATGAATAAGCTATAGCTCCACATACCAATAAAGGGATATAGTAAAGTCTTTGAAATGTCAGTTTTACTATTTCAAGTACAAATTATATAGTGATATCCCTACAAGCAAGGCAAAGTTTTCATCAAACTATGTTGCAGATGAATGTTTGATGATACACCCTCTTTCTTTTACCTTTCTTCTGCATGATCTCTACAGTGTTTCCCTTCTACTCTCTAATTAGAGCATCTTACAGAGGAAACCTAATAGTATTCCTGTGACAACCTCGCCTAACGTTTTGGATCCTATACCACATTGGTAGAATGAGCAAAACCACTTACCACATGGATACGTGTATTTATTTAGAAAATATATCAACATGTTGCTATACTAGTGTGTAATGTGATTTATACAGGAGAATATTTTAAAATGAAGAGGTAAAAGAAAGAAGTATCATTTTCTTCCTATATTCCAGTGAATTATTGTATGTCTCCCTCTCACTCAACCCCATCCTCATGTTACTCATCTTACTTTGAAGATGGTTGTGTTTGGGTAAATTTTGCACTATGTTTACTTGTGCATGTAAGTGCAATACTGCATTATTACTTTTGAAGTTTTAATTTCCTCTTTTACTATGGCTTGAAAGACTTTACTGTTTCTTAGATGTATTTATGTTGTTGTATTGTGTAGGAATTGTATAATTTTTAGGTCCAGGGCATCCTCAGAAATTATGTTGTTGTTGTTGTTGTTGTTGCTGTTGTGTGCTGTCGATTAGCTTGCAACTCATAGCAACCCTATGTACAACAGTTCTGAAGCCTCTTCTGTCCTGAGCCAGTCTCACTGATTCCAACACACCAACAACCCCCATTGCCCCAGTTACTGTATCAATCCATCTCATCTGGGATCTTCCTCTCCTATGCTATCCCCTCATCCTTCTGAGTATGAGGTCCTTCTCCAAGGATCGGCCCCTCCTGGCCATGTGCTCAAAGTATGTGAGATGCAGCTTCAAAATCCTAGCCTCCAAGGAGAAACTTGGTTTCCACTCTCTCCAGTACAGACCTATTTGTTTTCTTGGCTGTCCATGGTATGTTCAAGACTCTTCTCCAGCACCACAACTCAAAGGCATCAATTCTTCTCAGAAACTATACCAGCTTATATTTATTATACCTATTTTAACATTGTACAATGGTAGTTTCCCCCCAGCAGAATATATGTTTTAAAGGGAGAAAATAATGAGATTGAGAGAAGGAAGGAAGAAGGAGCTGTAGAATAGACCATGTGGATTTAAAAAAAAAAAAAAAGACCCAGTCAGTTACACCACAGATATTGGAAGCAATGGATATGAATGAAATGTTGGTACCTCATAAAATTGTTAATAATAGAAAACAAGCAGTATAGTTAGTATATACATCTAGAGAAAGTTGCTAAAAATAGATGGGAAATTGTTATTCTTAGACAAAAAGAAAATCTTAAAGGAAGTATCAGTTCTACAATATAGCAGCCTAAGACAGACTTGGGGATTCTCTGCCTGTTGTAGTATTACCTCTGGGACCTAAAGGAAGCAGAACATAAAAATGAGCCACTATCAATGTGAAGCCAGCTTAATCTTTGTGATCATGGCTTGGGTCTAAATCTATTAAAGATGTTCAGATTCGGTGTCCTTGGTATCAGTGTGGGTTGACCTAAATAGTGAGCAATAAACTTGTGTATTATAATTCAGGTTCAAAGATATGTGTTTAGGAAGTGAAACCGACAGTCAATGCTTTGTGTCTCTGTCTGAGCAGAGAAAAAGCCTATAGAAAATGACAGGTGCATTTTTAGGGAAAGAAACCCATAATGTTTTCCTATTTAGTAGGTGACAGTATGTCCCAGGATGACACAAGCTTAAGGGGCTGGAACAAGCATGGTTATTAAAGGCTTGCAGTTTTTCAGTTCATACAAATTGAATTTTTTCTTAGACTAGAGGACTGTGGAAATCTAGTGTAGAACACTGAAACAAATTAGCATATTAAGTGAATTTATATATTCAGTCTTGTGAGCGCTTTGAATTTGAGAAAGAAATTTTATTATTCTTGAAAGAAAAAGACAATTCCGCATTTGATCTGCTAGTGGGAAGGGATCTGTATGATAAATTATATCATTCTGATGATTATCCAGAGAAGTAGCTATCAAATGGATGTGAACCTTTCTCTCTTCTCTCATTTCTCCCCTAGAATTACTGATTTAGGAAACATCAAAAGAAGATTGTATTTATCGACGGTCTATAAGGAGCTATCCTCAACCCCTCTTCATGCAAAAATCCCACTGTTTATGATCAAGCGCAAAATTGTAAGTATCACATGAATGTTGCTTGAAATATAAACTTGATTTAGAGAATATTATTTATTGACCTACTCGGTTCCTTTCTTAAGGTATTTTCTTAAATACCATCCTACCGCCACTTTAATTTAATCAATTCTGACTCGTAAGTAACCCTGTAAGTAAGACACAGTAGAACTACTCTGAGGGAGTGTTGTTGTTTTTAGATGTCATCGAGTTGAGTATGACCCATAGCGGCCCTAAGAAAAACAGATTGGAACCCTGTCCTAGCCTGTACCATCCTCACACTTTCTGACACACTAGAGCTCATTGCTGCACTCACTGTGTCAATCCACTTGGTTGAGGGTCTTCTTCTTCTCCACCAATCCTCTGCCTTTCCAAGAATCACGACGCTTTCAGAGCAATAGCCTCTCATAACAACATGCCCGAAGTATGTAAGAAGCATTATCATCTTTACCTCCAAAGAGCATTCTGGCTGCACTTTTCTTTAAGACATATTTGTTTGTTCTTTTGACAGTCGATGTTCAGTGCTCCTCTCCACCATCACAGCTTAAGGCATCAATTTTTTTGTCATCCTTATTCATTGTCCAGCTCTCAGATGCATAGAAAGTAATCTGAAAGGCCATGGCCTGCATCAGATACATCTTACTCCTCAAACTGACATCATTACTCTTCAATAATTTGGAGAGGTCCCTAACTTCAGACTTTACCAGTGCAATACATCTTCTGATTTCCTGACTTTTTGGTTCCAAGGATGTTGAATGTGGATCCAAGTAAGATGAAGTTGTTGACAGTTTCAATATATTCTCCATCTGTCGGTACAGTGGTAAGAATTTCTGTTTTCTTGATGTTGATATGAAATCCATATTGAAGACTGTATTCTTTGATCTTTCACAGCAAATGTTTCAAATCCTCCTCACTTTCAACAAGCAAAGTTGTTTCATCTGTATAATGCAGGTCATTGATGAATCTACCTCTGATTACATCTATAGAAACAATTACCGGAGAAGATCAATATCAGCTGTGAAAACTAGGCCAGGTGCTGATTGCGAAACAGACCACCAACTATTCATCTGCAAGTTCAAACTGAAGTTGAAGAAAATTAAATCAAATCCACAGGAACAAAAATTTAACCTTAAGTCTATCCCACTCAAATTTCAAAACCATCACAGGAACAGGTTTGAGGCCTTGGACACCAATGAGTGACGACCAAATGAACTGTGGGAGGATACCAAGAATATCATCCATGAAGAATGCAAATAGTAATTAAAAAGGCAGAAAAAGAAGAAAAGACCAAGACGGATGTCAGATGAGATTTTGAATATTGAATTAGAGCACTGAAAAGCCAAAGCCAAGGGAAGAAATGAAGAAAATAAGGAGCTAAACAGAAGATTTCAAAAGGCAGCTCAAGATGACAAAGCAAAGTATTATAATGAAACGTGCAAAGAGCTGGAGTCAGAAAATAAAAAAAAAGGATGAACTCGCTCAGCATTTCTTAAGATAAAGGAATTGAGAAACAAATTCAAGCCATGAAAGGATGCTATAGGCAAAATATTAAATGATCCAAGGAGCATTAAAAGAAGATGGAAGGAGTATACAGAGTCACTGTACCAAAAGGAATGACACAGAAGAATTTCATGAAACAACATATAAGCAAGAGCCTGTGGTGATGAAAGAAGAAGTTAAAGCTGCTCTGAAAAAATTGGCAAAAAACAGGGCCCTAAGAACTGACAGAATACCAATTGACATATTTTAACAAATAGATGCTATCCTGGATGTGCTCACCAGGTTGTGCCAAGAAATCTAGAGGACTACCACCTGACCAACTGATTGGAAGAGATCTATATTTGTTCCCATTCCAAAGAAAGGTGACCTGACAGAGTGCAGAAATTATCGAACAATGTCATTGATATCACATGCAAGCAAAGCAAGATTCTGCTTAAAATTATCCAAAACCAACTGGTGCAGCATGGCAGCAGAGAACTGCCAGATGTGGAGGCTTGGTTTAGAATAGGCCATGGTCCTAGGGATATTATAGCTAATGTTAGATGGATCTTGGCAGAAAGCAGAGAATACTAAAGGATCTGTGTTTCATTGACTGCAAAGGCATTTAACTGTGTGGATCACAATAAACTGTGGCTGACTCTGAGAAGAATGAAATCTCAGAACAGTTGATTGTGCTTTTGCAAAACCTATACTTCAACCAGGAGGCAGTAGTCAGAACAAAGCAAGGTTTTGCATGGTTCAAAATTGGGAAGGGTGTCTGCCAGGGATGTATTCTGTCTCCATACCTTTTCAATCAGAACAGATTATCCTGGACGCTGGGCTATACAAAAAGGAATGTGGCATCAGGATTGGAGGAAGATTAATCAGCAACCTGCGTTATGCAGATGACACAACCCTGCTTGCTGAAACTCAGGAGGACCTGAAGCTCTTGCTGCAGAAGGTCAATATGGATTGAAGCTCAGCATCAAGAAAACAGATTCTGGGCCAATTGGCAGCATCATTATGGATGGTGAAGAGATTGAGATAGTTAACAGTTTTAGTGGCTCAGCTCCACAATCAACACTCTTGGTACCAGCAGCAAGGAAATCAAGAGACAAATTGCATTGGGAAAGTCAGCTGTCAAGGACCTTTCCAGAGTACTGAAGAGCAACAACATCAGTCTGGAGACTAAGGTGTGCCTGATCCAAGCCATAGTCGTCACAATTGCTTCCTATACGTCAGAGAGCTGGACAATGACCAGGGATGATAGAAAAAGAATTGATGCCTTTGAGTTGTGGTGCTGGAGAAGAGTGTTGACTATACCATGGACTGCTAGGAGAATAAACAGGTTCATCCTGGAGAAGGTGAAACCAGACTGCTCCTTGGAAGCAAGGATTCTGAGGCTTCATCTGACATACTTTGGTCATGTTACAGGGAGGGGCCAGTCCTTGAAGAGGGATATCATGCTTGGGAGGGTGAAGGGACAACGCAGGAGAGGAAGACCCTTGATGAGATGGATTGATTCAGTCACTGGGGTAAAGGGGGTAGGTGTGTCAGGCACAATAAGGTTGGCAAAGAATAGAGCAGGGTGTAGGGCTCCATGGTACATAACAACAACAACTACTACCTCTGAGCTTCATTTTTCTTCATAGAGTCCAGCTTCTCGAATAATTTGCTCACTATACAGATTTAATATTTGTTTCTCCCTCACTGCTTTCACAATTCTTTCCTTATCTTTGGTTCTGACAATTTTGGCCATGGTATGTCTTGCTTTTCTTTTGGGATCTATTCTATATGGTGTTCTCTCTGTTTCTTGAATATATATTCTCTCATTCTACATTATGCTTGCAAAGTTTTATTCTAATAATTCTTCCACATCTTTTTGGGTACCTTTACTTGCTTCTTCTTGCTCTGGAATTCTGATTATTCACATGTTATTTTTCTTGTTGGTGTCCCACATTATTCTTAGGTTTTCTTCTTTTTCCTTCTTTTCTGATTCTCCTTTTTGTTCTCACAGATCCATGGTGACAATTCTATCTTCTATTTCACTGGTTCTTTCTATCTCTTCAATACTGTTCATGTTACCCTCCATAATGTTGATAGTATCTGAAACATTGTTATTCATATTTTTTATTGTGGTTTCTTGTTTTTCTAGAGCTTCTAATGCCTTGTTTGATTTATCTGTATTATTTTGGATTTTTTTTTTTAAAGCTCTGCCTTGGTTTTGCTTGCAATGTCCTTTAATTCTTCAAGTTTGTCTTTCACTCATTGAAAATATTTAATCATTGTTTTTTATCAATTCTGTGTCAGAAAGTTTCATCAGACTTTCTGGCTTCAGGAAATCAATGGATCAATGATAATGTGTCGTTTTTTGGTATGACATCTTGCTTTGGGCTTGCATAGGGGGTGAAGGAGCCTGCTACCTATGTGATATTGCTGTGGTAGACGTTTTCATGTCTGAGGAGATAGCAGGTTCTAGATTTGAAGTCAACTGATCGAGAAGAGAGTGGGGTAGCTACCCTGCCTGGGTTTCTCTCTGCCTTCTGACCCAAGAGAAAATATGCTTCGGTTCAGTAGAGAAAAGGCCAGGGGAAGCAGCCTCCTCTGTCAGACAACTGCCACAGGTAGCCCAAGGTGTTCTGGGCTAAAGGCAGTTGATTGGCTCGATATGAGGCAATGAAAGGCGGAGCACAGGGGCCTGATTGGCAAACCAGGAAGCCTTGGTTTTCCCTTCAAGAATGAGCTCCAGTTGTCTTGTTCCCTTTTGGTTGAGCTTAAGGGGTCCCATGTGCTCCAGCCAAACAGCAGTGATCCCCCACAAAGTATCTCACTCAAGTTCCAGCATCGCTCCCAGTGCATGTCAGCTCCTGGTGTGGGTGTTGGCATCAGGAATGGAATTCCAGGCATGAGCTTGTGGCATCAGGACCAGAGTTCCAAATGTGGGCATCAGCATGAGGTCTGGAGTTCAGGGCTCAAGGTGTCAGCACCTGAGTTCTGGGTGCTGGCCAGTAGCATCTGGACCAGGGTTCCCAGCATAGGACGTTAGTGTTGGTACCAGAGTCCCTGGCATGAGGCAGCAACAGCAGGACTGGATTTTCAGGTGTGAGGACTGGAGTTCCTGGTGCAGGGTATCAGAGTCAGGACTGGAGTTCCCAGGGCATAGGTACTGAAACCAGAGTTCCGGGCTCTTGGCATTGGGACCAGATTTCCATGTGCAGGGCATTGGGACTGGGGTTCTGGGCATGAGCTGTCAGCACAGGGGACAGAGTTCCAGGTGAGGCTCATCTATGCCAGGTCCAGAGTTCCCGGTATAGACAGGTAGCAATGGGATTAGAGATCTGGACTCATGCTAAGAAATTTTTAAGGCAGGTACCTAGTTAATGACTGGATTTGTGGCATAGAAGCCAAAATATACTTCTAATATATAGTTTTATATGTTCTACATTGTTGTTGTATACTATCAAGTTGGGACCAACCCTTAGCTGACCTGCTGGCAGTTTTTCAGGGGCAGTTAATCACACAGG